TGTGAGTCAAACAGACAAAGACATAGAAATGAAGTGACTACACCACAACAGGCAGCGCTGTCTTGCAATTGTGACTTGCATTTAGGGTCCAATTTGAGTGGTGAAGTTACTTACTAGACTGCAGAGTTCCTTAAATGGCAACTAAATGCATTGCCCATAGATGGCTTTACAACAGAGAACGCTGCATATTTAGCCTTTAGAGTTTGACAAAGTAAACTTTACCCTAAATGTTCTCTGTCAGGAAGGGAGAGATGCTTTTGAACAAGATTAGTCAAATAGTCTCTTAAAAACCAAAGCTCTTATCAAAGTAAAATTCCTGAGGTACCTTAGACTCCTGAAAGCCAAGAAGCCCATATCCATGGAAAAATGCCATTTAAAAAAGAAAAATCTATTCACAAAAGCTCAACTGTGTCTCAAGTGATTTTGTGCCCTGTGTTGTGTCTGAAAGCATACTTCTTGAGGACCAATTCCAAGATGACATATTTTGACTCTTAAAGCAGGAGCTTGAGTAGTAGTAGTCTGCTTTTTAAACTCAGTATTCTGTTTAATTCAGTTTATAGAAATCTGAGTCCTAGAAAGGCAAATTCTCCAGGACCATCCAGTAACCATAAGTCAACTGGAAGAAAACATATCAGAAGTCATGACTCTCACTCATTCCCTTCACCACAGCCTAAAATGTTTGTCTGCTAGAAGGCACTTGGGAAAACAGCCACCACACCACAGTGTCTGTGGGAAAGAGAGATGGTACTGACAAGGCTGTAATCACTGCCCTCTCCAGGGCTCTCGTTGCCTGCTGCTCTCATAGGCTGGTGAACCCTTTGGAGTGCTAGCTGAATGAGGGCCAGACTCCCCACACGGTGAACAACTGCAATCCTAATGACACAAAACACATGCCAACCCAAGGAGCAGCAACATCGCTGTCCAAAACACACATGCTGTTGACACTGGGTTATTCGTGATGCGCTAGGCAGGGACTTAGGCCTTCATTCTTGATAATTATTTTGACTAGTAATCGTGACTAACACAGAAGGCTCCAAAGAGGACTGCAAGAAGAAAATGTGATGAAGATAATTGCAGCAGAGGAAAACTTAATGGAGATCATTGTTCTGTGGCAGCGGGGTGCCTGCACAGGGAAAGGGAGGTTAGGTAAAGACCATTAGCATAATCCAGCTGCTTCTCCATACCACAGAAAGACAGGACAAATCTTGCTCAGTGGCCTCATATCTTCCAAGAGGTCATGTTGCTAGAAAGCCACGTCAGAATCTGGTTGCTGCAGCCATACAGTTTCCAGTACTGTGCTATGAGATCATACCACAAAGACAGATACTCTCCTGGAAGTCAGGCCATCTGATGGTGGACATGTTTGCCATAATATCAGTATTTCAGTCAGTTCAGGCTGCCAGAACAAGATACTGTATACTGGGCAGCATAAACGACAGCTATTTCTCACAGTTCTGGAAGCTGGAAGTCCAAGACAGGGGTGCCAGCATGGCTGGGTTCTTGGTGAGGGCTATCTTCCTGTCATAGAGACGGTCTTCTTGCTGTATCCTCACACCTGAGAGTAAGCTCTCTTGTGTCTTGTTCTCCTCTTATAAGGGCACTGATCTCATTATGGGGGCTCCATCCTCATGACCTCATCTAAACCTAGTTACCTTCCAAAGATCCCACCTCCTAATATCCTCACACTGTGGGTTAAGTTTTCAACATAAGAGTTTTGAGGGGACACAAACATTCAGCCCACAATAGTCAGCCACGAAACAATAAGCTACCCACATCATGGGCAACCGTGCTGCCCTTTTGGGACTTGCCCTTTTCAAAGGTGGTTTAGGGGATGCTCTCCATCCTTGCCCTGCTTCTGTCAAGTTGCAGGGCAAAGCTTTCCTGTGGAGAGTTTTAGGAAGCAGCTATTCTAATTGTTTCTCAGCTGCTGTGATCTAGAAGATGTACCTTGGAAGGGTCATGTGCTTGGGCTGGAGATGGCCTGCAGTCTTCCCATCAGGATGATGAGTGGGTGCTAACCGACTGGGTTCATTGCCAGGAAGACTCCAGAGGTAAAATGCTGACGGCCTCTGTAGTGTGATGATGGAAGAAGCAAGTTAACATGGCAGAGGATCCAATCCTCAGTTCTCACGAGTACACAGCAGCGACTTATCTTACCAGTCAAAGCCTGGCCCTCCCTGCCCTCTCCCTCCTTTAATGCGAAAAGGAGAAACAAGATTTGCATCACGGCCAGAGTCAAATTCAAGGCGGACTCTTTCCCCACCCAATCACCCTTCCATGTCAATGAAAACTCAGGCTTCTGGACTATGCTTGCAAAACTCTGATCCTTTGAGAATTCATTTCTCAGGTTTCTGAGTTGGCAGGCTGAACATAGCAGCAAGGCGATGCTCACTTCTCCCTTGAAGGATTTTTGAGTGAAATGCTTTAGAAGAGTTTATTCCCATTATGCTTCCCAGTGTCCATGGTGCCAGAATGAGGTCATTCATGAGAGAAAGGGCCTGCTCATGGGCCAGGCTCAGAGCTGGCAGTCCAATTCCTGAAGTATCTCACAGGATCTGGAAGGTCTAGAGACCATTGGGTGCCCTCAGTCTGGGATATCTGCCTCCAAGGAGTCTCAGCAAAAGCTCAACCTGCAAAGGGCTTTTGGTCAGCTGGGAATCTGGCCAAGAGACCTTTTAGCTAAGTATGTTTTTGATAATCATTTACAATATCGCTTAAATTTAATTTTAGAAGAGAGCTATTCAATTGCAATGACACAAATGGACATTGTACCAGTGGAAAAACAAAATATGTTCCAGCTGATCAGCGGCCTTCCTTCCACTTTCCAACCTGGGCAGTTCTTTCCCATCACAATTATTCATAAAAGTTTTTCAAACATAAAGAAAACTCATCAGAGTTTTAGAGTAAATACCCATATTCTGAACACCTAGATGCTACAATTAACATTTTCTGTACTTGCTTTATCACATATATGTCCACGTAGTCACCCTTCTATTTAATTGCCAACCCATATTTTTGATGCATTTTAAATTGAGTTGTATATATCAGTATTCTTCCTCCAAGAAACCATGCTGCCCTTTCGGGACTTGCCGTTTTCAAAGGTGGTTTAGGGATGCTCTCCATCCCTGCCTGCTTCTGTCAAGTTGCAGGGCAAAGCTTTCCTGAGGAGAGTTGAAGGAAGTGGCTGTTCAAATTTGTTCTCAGTTATGCCTGTATAAAGCAAGCAGTGACCCATGCATACCTGTAACCCAAGCCTGTATCAAGATACAGAATGTTACCATCACCCTGAAAGTTCCCTCATACTCCTTCCGAGTCATTCTCCACCCCCACCTAGCCAGAGGCAGCTGATTGTTTTTTTTTTTTTTTTTTTTACCACTTATTCATTTTTCTGTTCTGAAACTTTATCTGAATGGAACCATTCAAGATGAACTCAGCTATGTAAGGTTTCTCTCATTCAGTATTATGTTTTTGAGACTCATCCAAATGGTTGTACACCACAGTAGTTCATTCCCTTTTATTACTGTGGAGTATTTCCATTGTATGAATATGCCACAGTTTGTATATTCATTCCCCTATTGATGTAGACCTAGGCTTCAAATTTTTGACCATTGTGATAAAACTATTAAGAACAATTTTGTACAAATTGTTTTACAGACATGTGTTTTCATGTCCCTTAGGTAAATACCCAGGAGTGAAATTGCTGCATTATGGTGTAGATGTCTGAATGTTTATTTCACATTCTCACCAACAATGAAAGAGTTCCAGTTGCTCCACACTCCCATGAATGTTTAGTGTTATTAATCTTTCTCATTTTAGCTCTTCTGGTGGATGTAAAGTAATTTAAGCGGCTATTTTAGCAAGTTTTCTAAATTAGAAAAAAAAATGTATCTACAAATATCAAGTTTGAAGTAAATATGGCTTGAAGGAAATCTAGAAATTGGCATGTGCAATATTAGAAGTTTACCTTATCCAAATCAGGCCATACAACTAATTGCTTAAGAGAATAAAAATGGCTGAAGGGATATGAAACAAGCAGCCAGACACATTTTTCAGTTTTTGCTTCTCCCGACAATATTATGATACCAGAAAAGCAAATGTAATGCTTAGAAAACTGCAGCCTTCATTGATAGAGAAATAGGAACTCTCTGTTTACCCACAGAACTGGCCTGGTGTGAACCACACTGTGCTGTCCCCATTTGCCTCCTTAGGTCAAAGCCTCTTGAGGACCACCCCTGCAGACCTGGCATAGCCTGCAGCATGGAGCTGTTAATCACCTAGACCACTGGGACAAATTCCTGCCCCTTCCTCCCTCTTTCTGATACCAACCCTGGACCTAAGGAAAAGGAAATCCCGTTTCTTGAGCATTAACATTGTGCCAGAACCTATGATAAATTGTGCATAAACGGTCCTTTAATCCTCGCAACAACATCCCTATAAAGTTATTGACAGTCTGATGTTATAGATGTGAAACCCAGACTCAGAGGGAGGTAGTAATGTGCCTAGGGTCACAGAGAGGTAGAAGAACCAGGATGCGACTTACAATCTGGTGCTCTTTCTGCTCTACCGTGCTAAGCACCCAGAAAGCAAACTGCAGAGGGCTTAATAGTTCACTGGGTGCCGAGGCCAGTAGAAGGCACCGCATGTCTCTTGGTCGGGTTTGTCCCTGCCTTTCCTTTCTCTTCTGTTTCTGCACTCTTCTAGTGTGTTTCTATTGAAGGTAGGGCTGATTCACTCCACCCCCGAGTCTTTCAGAGGACAGATGTTAATGAACTTTAGCCTTCCCACAGCTGCCACTGTCTCTGGCTTTGAGTTTTCCCCTTGCATGAAGGGATAATTCACCTGATACATCCATTCTCCTTCCCCTCAGTTTCTCAGCCCCTCATTGATCCCTCCCTGCTCTTTGGTCCTCTTCCTCCTCACTCCCTTCTGCCCACTGTTGGGAAAGGAGGTAACCGTGGGTTCATCACATGTTCATCACGTGTTTCTCTAGACCATGTTACCTGTTCCTGAAAAGCACTAGCTTGCTCCTCAAATCCCACAGTTCGGAAATAATTGACGACATCCATCACAGCCCAGTCTGCAGGATCAGGTGGTCTCCCACTTTCCATGGAACTGCAAAACACAAATCCAGACAGTTTTCATGGCAGTGCCTGCATAAGGGTATGGCCAGGCTCACAACTGGGTCTTCTGGGGCAGGCCTCTCGTGTTCCTTGGGTTCAGATGATTCCTCTCACTGGCTTAGCACTGCTAATAAACCATTTGAGCTGTAAAGTAAATTATTTCCTCTGGTTTTTAATCCAGAGACATTGAGAGTGGTCCAGTGACTGCTGGCAGCCCACGGTATGACATCCATACTTCTGAGTTCAGAACACCTGGCCTTTTACAGTACGACCTCAGCATACCTCTCTCTCTTCCTGTCTTCTTAACACCTTCCCTAGCCCCATACCCACACCTCTAGGGATAAACCATGCCACAGTAGGCCAAGTCCTTTCATAGATCTGAGCCTCTGCACATCCTGTCCCAGCCACTTACAATGCCCCCTCACCTGTCTTTACTGAACAAAACCCTATCATTTCTATCAGTACAAAAACTACCTCCTCTTTGAGGCATTTTTCTGGCTCTTCCAAGGGAGTATTTTAGTCATAACCTCCTTTGAGTTCTAGAACTTCATTCAGACTCCCATTGTAGCACCTTCCACACTGGATTATACCCTCCCACTAGAGTGAGAGATGCAGGCTGGAGATACGCATTTGAGCCTGGACCACTTCCATTTTACTATTCCTAGTACCAAGCATGTACTTAGGAACGTAATCCATATTGTTCAAATAAATAAACAGATGACAATCAAGCATTTGTCTGAGCGGGTCTATGGGGAACACTCCTCAATGTATTCAGAGAGGAGGGAACAAAGAATTAGAAGAAAGAATGGGATTGACCTGCAGTTACTGGGACTCTGCCTCATTTCTGAATTCGGAGTATTTGTCTGTCTTTCTCTACATTTCATCCAAGTTGATCTTCCCAGAGTGTACAACCAATTACACAGCCTAACTTTGCTTTGGAGGTCCTTCAGGACAAAGCCTCTTCCCACCTCTCCAATAGAACACACTGGAGAGCAAAACAGAGACACCCTGGAAGGGTGTGCAGAGCAGGAGCCAGAGTGCTAAAGCCCGATAACATCTGACATGGGAAGATTTTGGAGTATAGATTTAGGCAGCACCTTTCTCTGCTAGGAATGCAATATGTTTCCCCAAGGACTGATATTTTGTCCGAATTGAGACACTTAACTTTAGTTATTTCCTTATAAATGGTCCATTCTCACCACATCTTTTTTATGACCTATGCATGTCAAATTCCAGAGGGAATTTAAATGTCACTGTTTAAAATGCCTGCCAGGTGGTGGTTCCATTGTGGCTGCTAATTTTGCACTGATAAAATGAGATGGCAGATACAAAAGTGCCATTTCATTTGATATTTTTTATTCACTATCGTCAGAGCAAAATGTTTCTTAGAATATAATACATGTTAATGTGATAAATTTATGAGTATTTTCCAGGTGCAGAATCTTTAAAATATATATTTTATATATAGCATTATTATTAAAAATTAGCAAGAAATCTCAGCACTTAACCAAATTGTCAATTCATTTAGCCCAGTCACCTGTTAGTCCTTTGTACATATGGTTAGGTACATCAAGTATTGATAAAAATTATATCATGTGTGAATAATTCACACTAGGTAATGATTATGCACTAAACAATCACCTCATTTTTAAAGACAGCTAGAGAGATACAACCATGGGGACAGAAAAGCAATAATAACAAATTTGGCAGATATATTCAGATCAATTGAGCCTTTATGATGAGGTTTTCATGTTGGCACATCATAATTTAAAGTCTGGCAGCAAAAGTTTCCATTTCCCTTTGTAAGAAGGCAGGCAGAATGTAGTTGAAACTGTTTTTCTAAATCTAGCATATATACATTTTATGGTACTTATGACATTACAGATGCTAAGGTCAAAAAGATACTCTGGGTAAATGCAATCCACATATAATATCACAACTCCATTATATTCATCAATTGTATTTCCACTTCAAAGTTCAAAGCAGAAGTCACTTTAGAGACTGGTTATCTTATCATGATAATATATTTGTCACATTACTTTTTTAATAAAGCTAATTCTGAATGTTACTTATTTTTACACTCAGCAATGCAATCTAACTTTGTGCTGCCTGGATATTTATAACTTATTTTCAAAATGAAATTAACCTACTCTTTGCTCATGTCTTAAAACAGTGTCTGGCTAAAAGCAATTTAATTCTGATTCTAATAAATTAATATTGATCTCTTTGCCCATGACAAAGCTAAGGATGAAGCAACCAAATGAATCTTCATGTTATTTCCACCCATTTCTCCCTCTCCCTTCATGCTAACAAGCAGGGATCTGGCTAAATGGCAGGCCTAAAAAGAAAAAGGATGATTCAAAGATTCTGGACAGAACAGTTTTCGTTTTTAATTATTCAGATAAATAAGAGTTGAGTTGTTTGGTTGCAGCACATTAAAGTGATGAAAGTGTTGAAAAGGCAAATAATTCATCAAACCTTCTGTATAATCCAGCTTCTTTAGCTTAGACCTTAGATGCTTGACTCCAACCTAACTGGGCAACACCCTAGACTTTCCCATACCCATGGCTTTGCTTATGCCAGTCAAACCCTTTCTGTTCAACTTTTAGGGATTAGTCCTGTTCATTATAAAAAGACTAGTTTAATTTCCCCTTAATTAATTTTAACCTGCCTATTATGAGCCAGGCATTTACTAAGCATTGGAAACTCGTAGTCTAATGAAGAGGATAATCTCAGGCCAGCTGTGGGATGAAGAGGGTCATAATGTTTTGTTTCCTGCTCTATTTCAAAACGTGGTTAAGGAACAGGGGAAATAGACGGGTGAAGGAATGATGGAAAGTCAACATGGCGATGTGAGTCAGGGTGTGCTAGGCGTGTGGATGAGAGGCTTTGGAGCCCTCAGTCACCAGTAAGACTAGGAGCAGGTGCCCCAGACAGACGGAGCATCTTCCTGCACAAGTTATTTCCTTTGTATAGGAATAATCATACAGCTCAGAAATCATACAGGATTCTGTCCTTGGCACACCTCTGCCTAGAATGTCTTCCCAACCCATCTTTCTGAAAACAAAGGATCTTATAAACAGCCTCTTTTCCTACCTGTTGTTAACTTTCTAGTACAAATAAAATCCTCTAGTGTAAATAAGAACATTCGTTTTTTGGGGGTAGAGGGTGGGAGATAGAGTCTCACTCTGTTGCCCAGGCTGGAGTGCAGTGGCATGATCTTGACTCACTGCAACCTCCACCTCCCAGATTTAAGTGATTCTCCTGCCTCAGCCTCTGAAGTAGCTGGGACTACAGGCATGTGCCACCATGCCTGGCTAATTTTTTGTACTTTTAGTAGAGACAGGGTTTCACCGTGTTAGCCAGGATGGTCTGGATCAACTGACCTCGTGATCCACCCCCTCAGCCTCCCAAAGTGCTGGGATTACAGGCATGAGCCATTATCCCTAGAAAAATACTCTTTCCAAGCAGGATCAATGAATGCTTTTTATTCACTATCAGATACAATTCATGCCAAACACAAACATATAAATATTTCATATCTTACTCATTCATACTAAACACAACAGTCTAGAGACTACCTGAAGAACTTTCCCTCCCTGCTCTGAGCCACAGTACAATGGTCTCTGTTCCAAAGGATTTGGGTTTGGCTTCACTGCTTAGACAGACAGAAGGTTTTCCTTCTGTAGGGATCTCACTAGTGAGAAACTATGTAAGAAACAGCCCCCCTTGAGGGCTGACAATGTATAAAAGATACATAGTTAATGTCCGTGAATTCTGCTGGCATTGATTGAAACTTCTTTTGTTTTCACATTTAAAAACATATGATGTCCTAATATGCTTAGGTGACTATAGTTTTATGCATTTTACTCTTTTGAAATGTACACTTCAAGGCAGATTTTTTGCAATGGAAAAAAAATAGTAAAACTCAAAATAATAAACAGACTCAATCCTTAACCCATTATAATTTAACTGAAGGGAATAATCAAAGAGTTATTTATCATGAGACCATATATCAGAATGAACAGATAACTATACCATGTCAAGAAATGAATTTTAGCTTCAGTACAAAAAATAAAATGGTACCATTTACAAGTCACTGTTAATTCCCATATATTACCAATATTCCAGAAACCATTCAACAAAGGAACAGTGAACTTGAACAACACTGTAGACCAAGTGAATCTAACAGATATATACAGAACGTTCAACCCAACAACTGCAGAATATACATTTCTTTTCAACCATACATGGTACATTCTCCAGGACAGATCACGTATTAGGTTATAAAACAATTCTTAACAAATATAAAAATAATGAAATCATACTAAATATCTTTCTTGACTGCAGTAAAATGAAACTAGAAATCAATAGCAGAAGGAAAACTGAAAAATACATGGAAATTAAACAACATAACTTTAAATAACCAATAGGTCAAATAAATAAAAAGTGAAATTGGAAAGTATCTTGAGACTAATGAAAACAAAAATACAACTATCAAAACTTATGCAATGAAACCATAGCAGTACTAAGAGTGAAGTTTAGAGTCACAAATACCTACATTAAAAAGAGAAAGATAACGAACAACCTAACTTTATCCCTTAAGAAATTAGACCAAAAAATAAAATAGAGAATAGAAAAACAGTAAGAAAAAATCAACTAAAACTTGGGCTTTTGAAAAGGTAAACAAAATTGCTTTGGCTTAGAAAAAGGAGAGTGAAGACTCAAATGAAACCAGAAATGAAAAAGACATTATAAATGATGCTACAGATGAAAAAGGCCATGCAGACTACTATAAACAGTTATAGGTCTAGAAAGTGGATAATCTAGAAGAAATGGATAGGCTCCTAGAAGCATGCAACCCACCAGACTGAATCATGAAGAAATGGAAAATACAAGCAGACCTATCTAGTAAGGAGATTAAATCAGTAGTCAAAAAGCTTCCATAAAATAAAAGCCCAGGATTAGATGGCTTCATTGGAGAATTTTTCC